AGAGCTTACTAGCCATGGTCCAAGGCTAGTTGCAAACACAGCTATAAGTTTCAATCGTTTTCCACATGCTAACTTATCACAAGTAAGAGACAGCAAGCGAAGCAGGAAACTGGCTTATTCATAAAAGTCAACAATAATAAGTGAAGACGAAAGCGGGTGCCAAATTCATTGATTACTGGCTATCGACCTCCAATAATCGGCAATCCAATGTACATTAATAACTGTTGATGATAATAACATTATTTTCACTTCCCCCCTCCTTTAATCTCTATGAATGAAGCACTACTAATTCCTATTAACATTAAATTAGCAAATAAATGAATAATAAGCATATGCATTTTAACTTAGTTAACAGCCTCTTAATTACATTTTTTTTTCAAGTATCACTCCTCTTTCAATTAATAAATTATTATTATTATATACTATTAAAATAGAAATACATAATAGAATCAGAACAAAAGAAATGCTAAACGTACCAAAGATTATTCAAATCCAACACATATAAAATTTAGTACTGGACAAAAGACTTTGGTGCGATTTTCTATGCCAGATCCTCTTAATTAATCGATTATTATTTTGGGTTAAGGGAGGATCTTATATTCAAAAGCTGTTTCTTTTTTTTTTTAATATATAAATCCTCAACTAACCACATCACCCTTCACGTGATTATTTTTTGTAAATTATATTTAGTCAGTTAAGCAGCCAATGATTTCCCAGACATGCCCTAAACGATTGATAACAAATTAGGATTACTCCATAAACCAATATGTCGAATATAGTTTCCATTAGTAATAAGATATCAATCTTTGATAAACGAGTATGAAAAATTGTCAAAAACATATATTTTATCATATAAGAAGCATAGTCAAAGTCAGATCTTTGATAAAAATAACTTAATATTTAAAAATATTTTTGAATTATTTAAAAAATTTTAAATAAAATTTTATTTTTTATTTTATTTAATTAAATTTTTATTATCAGTGATGGATTAATTAATATTAATCAAAATATTATTTATTATTTTATATCATTTGATATTGACATAATATATTAACTAGTGATATAATAAATTGATATAGTACAATAACGTTGACTATATGATATTTTTCACACTCCACATCAATACTACATAAATATAAACATGTTAAATAATATTTTAGCTAATGATAATTAATCAATTATAAGTTATAAAAACTTATTTAGTCTAAAGTAATAATATAAAAATTTAATTAAACTCAAATAACAAATTTATTTAATTTTTTTGAATAATTCAAAAGATTTTTTAGGATATTAGGATTATAAAAAATTTGATTTCTTAATCAATTGTTTTCTTTTTTCTTTTTGACATATTAAACCATTTGTTTTAGTAAACTAGTATGTAGGCAAACATTTTAATAAACCACTAGAGTGTAGCCCATGCTACCTATTTGGCCTAATTTTTTTATATATGAATAAGATATGAAATTAATTTATATTAATAAAAATACTTATTAAAAATAAAAAAATAAAAAAATATCATTTACAAATTATATTTTGATGTGTAAAGGTAAATTTTTAAAAGTTAAAAGATATTGTGATGACATATTAACTTATTCAAAATGAACTTGTTTATCGAATTTGAATTTATTTGATTTTTTATAATGTTATCATATATAGACAATACTATTACTAGTAGGTTTATATAATGCATTGTTAGGATTTTTTTTTAATAAAAAAGTTATAAAAAAGATAAAATTATAAATATAATCAATAAAAAATTAAATATTAAAAAAAATTAACAAAAAATAAAAAAGAGAGAAAGACTACAAAAAATTGTATATCAATTTTTTCTCAATTAAAATTTAAATTAAAAAAACAATCCGTTCTTTTTTCTCAATTTTTCCTTTTATTTTTTTTTTAATTTTTTCCTCCCACATCTGCCCCTCAACCCAGACTCACCTTTATCTCATATCACTTTGTAAATTGAAACGTGGCAAAATGAGGAAGGCTCATTTTAAGTATATAATAGATTTGTAGCTCAAAAAACGTGGACCAATGCAAGCTTGAAGTCTTGCAAGTATATACCAATGGAAGAATGCTTTCCCAATTGTACAACGCATCCAATAATTACATCTATAATTAGTTATACCAAAAAAAGGGACTTTCTTCCCAAAGGAACAAAAAGAAAAAACAAGCCAACTGCTTGTTTTTCCATAGTTGAAAAGTAATTGACAGATTATTAGTAAGTTTTAGACACCGCAAGCATTGAAATTTATAACATCAGGAAAAACTAATTGTACAAATAAGCCGACCATTCATGGATTGGAAAATTTAATCCCATTTTGGCTATGCCTGCCTTGTCTAATATTTGACTTCTTCACTTCCCAAGTTCAAGGGCTGCACTGGCAATTTTGACACTTCTTGTGGTCTTTTCAAAACCAAACCTTTTGAATAGAAACAGAATGAAAATATGGATAATTCTAATGAAAAAGGAACTAATATTTATTTATTTAATAGGATGTACACTTTCATTTAATTAAGTACAAGAATTGTAAGCAATATTATCAAAGTCATGTAATGTTGGGTACGAGGAAGGTTGGAGTACATGTTAGGACATCATGTATCAAATGCAAATAGAATTACGACGGAAGAAAATGAACAAACAAAACACACCTTACCTTCTTAAAATCTCTTTCTTGTTGAATTGAGCACTAAAACAAAAACAAAGATATAATTATATAATCATATCATATTGCTTATATAACAAAGGAAGCTGGATCTTTTGTCAAATCACCATAATAGCTTCGAAAGACTCAACCACCTCAGCTTGTAAATCAAAATTGTCTAAAGAATTCTTGTGCAGCTTCTAATAGTTATTCATATTAATGAATTTGAAAATCCTTCCCCAAGGATTAAAAGTGTTATATCGTAGCAATGTGTTAATAAAGATGGGTTTCATAAACTCAAATTCCCACATAAACAGCCTTAGAGCTAAACACACAAGCACAAAGTGAGAGAAAACATTTTTCTCTTCACAATGGCTGTGGTTATGGCAAGAGTGTTTGTAAGTGTGTAGGCTTCTACAACAAGATATTTATACCTTGAATTAATTTAAACCCTAATTAGGTTAATTACATAACTTTTATATAATTACTAATTAATCCAATAACTTAATTAAATTATTTAATTAAGTCCTTAAGAAGCTTTTAACTTTTAATTTGATTAAGTTTGGCTTAATCACCTTTTCCATTTTATTTCAGTATTCATTTTGAATGTGTGACCCATTAGGCTTCTAACATGTTAATAATGAACTTATGATATAATCTTTGGGTTAAATTTAAGATTAGATAAATTCAAATTACTTTGAATTTATTATTAATCAAATTAACTATCTAAAGTTCATAAACCAAGAGTGAGATCTAACAATCCATCATGATCACCCAAATGTTAAAAATTCAATATGGTTTGATTCAATCTTTCAATGATCAATCTTTCAATGATCAGTCTTTCAGTGATTAGTCTTTTAATGTAATTCAATCACTTTATCTAGCGCGTCAGAAATCTAAGAAGCATGGTACAGTGTCTACTCATTAATCTTTTCATATTAGTTCTTCCAACCACTAAGTAGCTAATGTAGACCTTAGAAAACTTTTTTTTCACAATCTATCTTACTTTAACCAAAGACTTCATTAAGCTAATTCAAGACAAGATCAATCAAGACACATCTCCTTAATCACTTAGAGTGGTGAATCATCTCTTAATCACTCATTTATCTTCATATGTTTCATACTATATCTATCACCATCTTGTGTAGGTATCCTTTGTTAGAACTTGAAAGGATGATATTAAAGTATAACAATACTCATATAAGGCAACCTAGTGTCTTAAGTCTAAATATCACTTGCATTACTATCACATGAAGATATATTCCATAGATATTTGAGTGACATATCAAATGCAATCCTTATTGCAAGTCATGTTCAATGAACTTATTCTAAGAAGAAGCACTCACATTCTAGTTCCAACTATTTACATAATTTAACCTATACGATTAGTTGCTTACTTCACAAGTAAGGAATATAAAATATGATAGTCTCTAAGAATTATTAATATTCAGTTTCGATGATACATTGATCAAGAATAATTTAAGAATTATTCTTTGATGCATGAAAATCTCATAATTGTAACACTCTACAATTCTTTTGCAAGTCCTGTTAATTCTTTGGACTTCATCTAATAAACTTATATACAATAAGCTAATACCATAACTTATTGATGAAAGAAAACCTTAGATTGCTCATTATAACCAATCTTATTGCATGGTTAAGGATATAAATCGTAAGCAATCCGATTGATTGCAGGGCTTATACCTAACAATGTATTTCTTATAATATATTCAATTAAATTAAATTACAGTAAATAAACAAAAAGCATGATGGACATACTTGTTATGAAATGGGCTTCCATGATGTCACCAGCCTCGTGAATGCAGGGGCGAGTTCAGATACAATTGGTCATAAGATCCAAGCCCACTTGAAATGCTTGACCCCTTGGATAGGCCTTAAAATTATGAACCTGCTGATAGGCCTTGACGATCCGGTAGCCCCAGAAATGGAAATCTGTCAGTAGCCCACTTGTTGCACTTCTTCGGCCATTTACCAGTTATTCTTTGTTTTGCTAGATGTTGGTACTTACAAGTTGTTCTGATTTTTTCTTTTGTGCTTTTGTCTACCTACAAGTGGCTCTCGTTCGATTGTGAACTTAAACATTATATCTATAATTTATGTGAAACTAAACCATCTTATGAATTGTAATCCTGGCATTAAAGAGCAATGACTAACGAGAAAGTCCAGAACATTCGAGAAATGGGATATTTGTGGTTTTGAACAGTTAAGACTGGGTCATGGAATTAATTGGGGTAGAGAATTTAAAAAAATCTGAGTCAACTGCATTGACAGGAATTATTTTTCTGTCAATTTCGTCAGATTCATTAACTGATTGATAGCTGACATGTTGATGTCTGCTTGCCTTCTCTACTTTTCTTTCCTATTTTGTTTTGGTTGCTTTCTTTGGAGGTGTACAGCTGAACAATCTAAGCAAAGTAGTGTAGCTGTTGAAGTGCAGAAGTTCAAAAGAGAAAAAGGAAATGGGGAAAGAAATGGCTGCACAGTATTCTTTAGTGTCAGCTGTAAAGGTTATAACTGATAGTTATAGTAGATAATAATTGATATGCATATTCTGAAAGAATGAAAGAATAAATTTGGCCTAAATTTCAATTGTTTTTTGATTCAGAGCCTTGTATCTCCATTTTTCTTTTTCCAAAAAATCAGCATCCAGGAACCGGGAAACAAATGCCCAAAGCCTATATATGTCTTCAAAATTTGTAAGGAATCCAAGTGCAGCTGTGACTACAGATATTCCAGAATGAAATTTATCTCTCTTCTTGCTTGAGAGTGGTCCTTCAGCTTCACTTGTTCTTGTCTCCAATTGCTTCTCCTTCTCTTCTTCATGCTTATCCGAGAACCAAATGTGTTGCAAAAATCCAATGCTTAAAGAAATATTGTTTCTATCAGCCAGCTTTTGTACCAATACAGGATCAATCTTCTCACCTTTCCAATCGAATACATTAAATGCCAAGGCGGGTCCTCGATCAAACATTATTTTGGGTCCATAGATTCTGACCGCAGGAATTCCATTTTCTGAATGTGGATGTTGAAGGCTCATCAGTGCATTCACCAACCAATTGATCAGGTTCCTTGTCCTGCTGCTGATTAGTATCAGGCCTAATGAATCTGCATGATCCAAGCTTCTACATTCGATTTTCGGGTTTTTACTCTGAGGTGTATTGTTGATTATTGAGCTAGCTGATTCAAAGGATGTTTCGATTACTTCTTCAATTTCTGAAAATGATACAGTCCTTTGTTTTCTATTGATTCCTTCAGTTTTGTGCAAGTCCAGAGTAGTTTCATCTCTTCTTTGTTGAATAGATATCGGGCCTGAGAATGAACCTTGAGCAGGAAATTCTTTCGACTTCTTTCTGGTTTCAATGCTAGAAATAGCTGAACTTTCAGGGATTCGAGTTGGCTCTGACGTTGGGACAAGATTCAGTATTCCTATACTTGTAGCTGTTGTTGTATCCTTCAAAACTGAAGCACTGGATTTCCTGATAAGCAAGCAACAGAATCCCGATGGATTTTCTTCAAAAACCTTAAAAAATGAGCAAATCAGAAAGTCAGGATTAAAAAGAGATAGCCCCAAGGTCTCCATGTCTTTAGCTCCCAATGCAGATGCATCAAGCAAAACATGCCACCCATTCTCCTGAGCCAGGCTCATCCACAGATATGAATATCTTGTCCCTGTAACCCTTGATTGAAGTGGGAAGACAAAAAGCCCTTTCTTCTTGTGCTTGCTTTTATTCATTATCTTCTTTCTCAATTTCTCTGATTGGATGCTTAGATTAGGCCATGAGAAATTAGCCGACATGACATTTGCTCCTCTCTTCTTGGAGCTTTCAATCATCACTTCCACAGCCTCACTCTGGTAGTCGTAAACCGTGAGAAGGTTTTGATAAGACTGAAATGGATAAGACTCTGCCAGAAGCTTGGAAGCAGAGGATTGATTGGCACTGAGAACCATGGTGTAATCAGCTTCTGAGATATTCATGAAAGCCATGATCCTTTTTCTGATATTGGATTCAAATTCCGACTCTTCACCACCATGTAGTATCTGAGAATTCAAGTTTACTGACTTGAAGGAGACATCAAAAAATGGAGCTTCTAAAGTTACTGAACGCACTGGCGGCGGCGGAGAAGATGACGAGGACGCAACAGGATATCCTGGACATTGACTTTCAAGCTGAAAATAAGAGAACAGGCCATGGCCAATGTAGTCAAGACAGACATGCTTGGAGAGGGAAAGATGGTAGTATTCTTGAGCTCGAATTTTATCGGCCTGATCCGTTTGGGAATATTGAGGGTACACTTTGATGAAACGGGAAAGTGATTCCTCAAACGAAGGAAGAGACTCATGATTGGTGAATTGGAAATTTGGGTAGAGAGAAGAAGCTGTGCTAACCTCAAACTCATACCGTGATGCAGCAGCACTGTGTGGAATCTGTGAAGTTGCAGCATGAGACTCAGGGAGGCCAGGAAAGGGATTTAGACAGCAACCATAGCAGGCTTGTGAGGCCTCTCTTAAGCAAGGTGAATGCATTCTTTCCTATATGTTCATGTTTTAATATTCAAGTTTCTCATTGAGATCACCTGGCTATTAAGCTCCTATTATATTTCATAGAGCGCAAATGTATAAAGTCTTGTGTTATTAGAGCTTTGCACAGGATTGTCCAAAAGGGAATCTCATCAGCAAGTCAGCATACTCAATTGACCCGGTCTACCATGAATTACAATGTTGACCCAAAATGTGAACAAAAGACATCTAACATGCATGTGTTGCTAATTAATACACAATTCTTTTGGTTAAAACCATATTATTGTAAAGCTGAATATGAAGTACCCTTTATAGATAAATAAACATCCAAGATAATTGAATGAGAGATGTGAATTGTGAAGACTAAACAGACAAATTTTGTAAAAATCTTGTAAGCTTCACCCTTACATGTAGTTGGTCAACAGTTAAACTCACGGAATGACTGGTTTTCGTGGAAATTTCTTTCTATAAACAAATGAATGATCAAACACAAGTCAAGAAAAGTTAAAAGGAAGGAAAGTCATAAAGTCATATCATCCATAAACTTGTGTAATTGAAGACAAAATCCTGAACAAGCCAAACTTCTCCATCACACTTTCCAAATCAGAATGTCATTTGGCCCTTTTGGAATCATAATGACCTTGTAACCGGCTAAGGTTGGCACTAAGTAATCAAGTTTCTTAGTCAAGAAGATGCGAGTGAGGAAACCAACAAGCAGAAAGGGCAAGGCAAAATTTGGAAGTGGCCGGCTTCTTCAAGCTTCGCCGTCATTAGTTCTACATGTAACTGCTTATTTCTCTTTACTTTATCGATCTCTCGTAACTCTTACTTTTACTTGTGTGACATGTTTTTTTCCCCCAAAGTGTTGCCCAAAGGTATAATTGACAAGTCAGGTTCAAGTGCAGAAGTTTGGCCCTACCACGCTCGAGGATCACTGGCAATCTTCAATCCTTGTAGCAAAGGAAGACTCTTCACCAAAGTCATTTGTTTTTGTTTTTTGTATTTATATTTTGGGAGCATATGCGAAACGTCTCTGAGGTTTCCAAGAGAATTCGACGATTTAGATTTTGGATTGGGTGTTCCAAATATAGTGAAAAATGCTGCGGCAGGATTGCAAACATAGGCCATGCAAAGACAGGACCTTAAGCACAAAATAATAACTATGTGTAGATTATAATGGATAATGGAAAGCTAATCATGATCTGCCCCACAAGATTAAGTACATAATTAGCATGTGTGAATACTTTTACACATTTGTAAGGGATGAATACTGAACTTTCAAATTTATCAGCAATTACGCGTTTGAAAAAGAGGTACGGTTTAGAAATTTATGTCCGGACTTTCTTTCTTCATCTGCTTCGTATTTTCCTCTTTGTTCTGCTTGAAGGTTGGTAAGTAGAACAACACATTAAAGATTGAAAGGGACGAAAAATAAATAAATAAATAAATATATATATATATATATATATATGCGTATTGATTCGGGTGATTGCATAATTTCTCTCTCCCGACAAGTCATGAAAAGGACTGAACCGGCAGGGGCAGATTCCTGCTATTGCAGTTTCTGGAATCACTTCTTTTGACAATTCGAACAATGGAGACTTATTCACATCCCTCAATATTTCCTGTTCATGTGGTATCCTAAAACATCCTGGAGTAAAGTTAAAAGCAGGACAGACAGTTGTAAAAGTTATGTTGAGAGTGGGATTTGAACCCACGCCCTTTCGGACCAGAACCTTAATCTGGCGCCTTAGACCAACTCGGCCATCTCAACTTGTTGGTAAAGCGCTTTGGTTTTTTATTTGGTCAAGTTAAGATGTTCGTTTTTCTTTTGGGTGAGGAGAATGTTAAATTTAGCAGTGCGGCTAAGCCTTTGGAATTCTCCCATAAATTTCCACCATCATAAGGAAAGATTCAGCGCCAGATTCAAATGATGTGCCTAGAATTCACAAATTCATACTCCATTTTTCAAACTAGAAATTAAACTCTTTGGTACGGTTACTTCATTAGTGCAGGCCCCAATATAATAAATGTGAAGCCGTCGCCAAGTCTCTTCTAACAAGATCTAATCCCTGGCCGCAAGGCCATGCCCTTGCTCCCATGCAATTGCAAATAGCACTGTCAGGTGATGGTCTCTCCCAAGTCCTGCCTTACCAGAATCAAGGATGATGCCAGCCATAATGCTGTTTTATTAGTTATGCACATCAGTTTCTCTTGCCATCCAAAAACAGGCAATATCCAATCACTGCATATAATTATGTTTTCTGTACCCTATGTGTTCAATAGGATTCTTTCATTTATATTATGCAAACGATTATTCCTTTGAGCAAACCATGCTCTTAAGTCCTTTCCAGTACTCTTTTGAGATCTAAAGTTGAGGTAACGAAGAAATTGGCACAGTTTACTTCTTTTCTTTTTACTTTTGTAAAAAGAAAAGCTTCTGCATGATTAGAACAAATACTTCCTGACTAGTTTCTCCCCGTGGCATCTAGACAGGGACCAGAGAATACTATCCCTAAAGGTGCTAGCCTCTAGGCCAAGCCTGCACATCCTTTGCAGTTAAATGAATGTGGTGGAGGGTCGAATTAACCGCGTGACGGGTGTGTTATTGTATTCGTTTGATAGAAATGCTTAATTTTTTCCTCCTCCTTCCTCGCAGTTTGGTCTTAATTAGTTACACATGAATAAATTAGAAGTTCTGAAAGTAAAGCTATCCATCTATGCTGGCTAAGATGGTGAAGGATGACTTTTCATACATCTGCAATAATACTATAAGCACAAAAAGAATCAGCGGTCATTTATCCCGTACGTTGTCATGCATTATCATGTTTGGCTATATTTGATACAGCACTAGTCCCTTTACTTGACGACCCATCAGGACATTTAGCTTCGATTTTCTTTCTTAAAACGTCAATAACCTTACAAAACTTGTCAGATCGAGGTCTGATTGTTTTCAGTAAAGCTATCTCGTTTAGGGTCAGCTTGGTTGCCAATTCTTATCAGTCTAAATCAGTGGAGTGCAAAATGTAAGACAAGTAGAAAATCATTATCATACCAAATTCTATAAAGAATTGAAGATAATCATACTAGTCTCCCCAGTAGAGTTGTTTTAGTACTCCTTTGAAGCACATGTTGAAAATTACACAAAAACAGTGGTGACATCCCTGAATAGAGTTGGCAAAGCATGACATGGGCTTTTGGTTCGAAGAACATATGAACTGATATGGAGATTTATTTCCATATCACTGAAAAAAAGAAGATCATAATGTGTCATGCAGAAGAAAATGATGCAAATTTACACTTCTTCAGACAGGGGATTCTAGCTACCGAGAACAAAACCACATTAAAAATTGAAAACGTGAAACGTGAAGGGGATGAACACAAAAAATCTGATCATACCTTTTGAATGAGCCCTAAACCTAGGGCTTTGGGAGATTTATTAAGTCGAACCAGTTAGAGGGCAACTCTCCTTTGGCGAGTTATTGTTGAATAGAAGAATTAGATCTTGATTTATTATCGATGAACATAACCTGCCAAAGGAGAGAAGCCCTACAACTAGTTCACTTAGTGATCATTTTCATTGTCTTGTGGCACAAAAAAGTTTAAACGGCACGCCCAGCTCTGGTTTTAGCTGAAGGGTGCAGCAGGAGATTTATAGGCTCTTCTTTAAGAGCTCAACCAATGGGATTTGTTGTTTAAGACATAGCATATGCCTAGGATATCCTTTGGTGCCTGCTTTCTACGCATCTCATGCAAGGCTCCTTTTATTTGAGAAGCCTCTTACAGATGTTTGAGAGATTCTATACTTGGCATGATTTAGACGTATGAATGTTTTCGATATTTCTTTCTCTCAGCTGTGTCCATATCCATGTATATATGGAGGTGAAAGGGCGGAAGAGAAAAAGAAGAGTACTCAAGAGTGGATGCCTGCTTTTCCCTATAGGAGGTGGCAGCAAAGCCTGAGCCTAGAGGTATATCCTTTGTAATATTCTTTTCTGTTTTAATTTGCTTTAAGATTTTTTATGGAAATCCAAAATATATAACCCTTGGTAGACCATGTAATCTTTTTTGTCCAATGAGAATATTTCGCAGCAGAATGTCAAATTATCTGCAATTCCCCTTTGTCTTCCACATGCCTGATTTTGTGAAGCAACTCCCATCTTTCTCATTTTTCATCTCTCTCTCTCTCTCTCTCTCTCTCTCCCTCTATATATTTCACAAGGTAAAAAATATATAACATATATTTATCTAAAAAATCTTCGGTTCCCAAGTCAAAATCATCGTCTCTTTACTAGGATTATTTCTCTGAAACAGGCTAACAGCTGGTAGCGACTAAATATTCTCTGCAATCTTGGACAGGAAGAATATCATTCGAATTCCTATTTATTTATTGTTTTAGGGGTGACAGGTGAGAGGCGTTGTTGCCTACTAAGACTATAAAGTCGCAGGTAAAACCAGAGGATTAGTCAAAGCATGACAAAGGGCGCAGCGAAACAGTTAAAAATTCAGAATGGATGTGATAAGCAACGTGCCTGCTTGAACAAAGGGATGATGTAGAGTCTGGACCTGGGATTAACATTTCATGATCACTCATAAGCTTTATTTTGTCTTTTGGAAACTTTGAAGCTATATAGTACGTAGTATTAAGTTTCTTTTTGCATTTTCTTTTTCCATATCTGTTCTCTTTCTCTTCTACACCTTGGTGTGGCATCATTAGTCCAAATTATCAGGTGGGAAAACAATTGCACAATAAAAACATAACCATAATATGTCTCGTAGTCAACCATTTGTAAATGCAAATATTGACCAATCGTTAAATACAGCCCCCACATTTCGGAACACTTCACGCTGGCGGAATAAGAAGTCATCAGGAACATCATTTCTTAATCAAAAGAAAGAAAAATCAAACCATCATCCATCACGTGGTTCTTAATTAGCGAGTCTCTCACTCAATATCTTGACACCCATGTACCTGCATCACATTAAATTCCAATGTCAACAGACATTATTTATGCCATAACTGATTCTGGCAT